TAATAATAATAATAATAAGATGGCTTAGAACACATTATCCCCATTTTTCTAATATATTCCAATGTTAGCTTTTTAAAAAGGTCTTATTTCTTATTCTAACATTATAGACATTTGCATTGCATCCAGATTAATTTACAAGCTGCTTGGGTTTAAATTTTCAATTAAAAAAAGAGCAATCCTTAATATAAAAGATCCAGTAGGCAGGCAGGATAGTATCATAGTACTGGGCAGAGAAGCAGTAATGGTATAGAGACTGGCTAGGCAAATGGGCACTAGACAAAGTAAATTAGAACAAAGCAAGAAAGGGGGAAGGATGATGAATTTTTAAAAAGTTTTAAAAGGATTATTCTGGTAAATATTCTGAAAAACATCCTTTATTATCCAGGATGCAATTCCTCTGCCCTTCTAAATAATTCAGAGTAAATGAATTGATGTCAAGCTAGTTCTCCAAACTATGGCCTGGGGGCTACATCTAGCCCTCCGGAAGGTTCCTTCCGGCCTACCAGTTCCTCCCACATACTGTGCTCTGATCCTTTCCAAACAGCACAGGGAGAAAAAGCAAGGTTGTATTCACCACTGTTTGGAGGTGGTGTGTGTGTGTGCGTGCGTGCACGCACTCAAATCAGCTGGAGGGTTTCTGGATGAGGAAGGGGGAAATAACTTTCCCTTTAAAATTAGTCCCAGCTTTCAGCCAGCTGGAGAGTTGCTTTCTTTGCAGGGGGTTAGACCCTTTGGATCATTTTCCCCTCTCCTCGCCCCCTCACAAAGAAAGCCCAATTCAAAGTCAGGGCAGCCAGACAAGGAAGAGGAAGCTGGCTATGATGACTCACAACAGCCAGGTGGGCATGGCTGGGTGGGCATGGTCGATGTGGCCAGTTCGATGATACTCACTTGTTGCAGCTGACTCTGTCCAGCCAGGTGGGCATGGCCAAGAAGGTGCAGCTGGCTTGGTCCTGCTGATTCAGAAGGCTAGGTTGGCACAGAACAAGTCGTACTGGCTAACTCAACGTCGGAACAACTCAGTGCCCCGCATGCTCCTTGCCTCCCAAACTTCTGGCAGCCAAGTGTGTGCACATGGGTGTGTACACACACACAACATTCCACGTTTGGGACTTTTATCCATAGATGAAGGAGAGGTCCTTCTCCCCAAGCCCAGGCATGATTGGTAGCTTGCCAACTCAGATGTGGATAAACGACTTCAAGCTTGGAATGCAGTGCGTGTGTGTGTGCATGCGCACATACGCTTGGCTGCCAGCAGTTTGGGGAGGCAAGGAGCTTGTGGGGCGCCGAGTTGCCCCCAGTCGAGTTAGCTGGTATGACTTGTTCCATGCCAGCCCAGCCAGCCCAAGTCAGAGAGGTGAAACCAGTTGCACCTACCCGGTTCCACCACAAAACCGCGCTCGACGAAACCGCGTAGCTGACATCATCAACAGGGCGACAACAGCGCAGAGACAGAAGCACGCTGTAAACGCTAAACCTAAAATTAACCCCTAAACCTAAACCTAACCCCCCTAAACCTAATCCTAACCCTAAGCCTAACCCTAACCCTAACCCTAACCCTAACCC